TTCCCATAAATGCAAAATTGTCAGCAAATGTCGTACATATTCAGGAGTTTCCAAGTAGCTTTCTCAGCCATGACTAACATTGTCAATCAACCTTTTGCAGTCTTCCATTAACTGGAACATCAGATTTCAGCTTTAGATAGCTGCAGTGATAAACAGAGAAAAATAATCTCCAAACCAGTAAATCTTACATGAAAGATTTTCAATCCAGATTTCATACATGGATGATATGATCTTTTTGACATTGTAAGTAAAGCTAGAAAATAAGCCTATCCACTCATTATTTGGAATTCAGTGTAGAAAACAAGGAAAATTAAGCAGTGACACTACTCACTCTAAACAAATGCTAGCTAATTCTGTGCAAAGAAAATGTTTATGTCTGCTATCTACACGTACTGGTATGATGGATACTTTGCTCTTAATCAAAGTCTGTTATTTATCAGTTTAATCACTTAACATGGTGGGTTTAATTTGAGATAGACCTCTTTAGCTATAATTACATCCCAAGGAGGTCATTTAACCTTCCTAACTTGTAATGTCATACTAACCAGAATTTTGCAGGACTCAAAAGAAAAACTATATTTTTCAGTCAAAATATTTTGTCAGTGTCTTCTTACAACATGCAGAAAAAATAAGCCTGCTTTTCAACCTGTTTGTTCCTGCTTTGAAAGTTAAAGAGGATGTGTGACTGCTTTCCAGCTGTTGTAAATGCCATAAGACCCAGCCACATCCCTGCCCAGGTATTGTTTGTTGTCAAAATTGTTATCTATTTCTTATTGTATACATTTGTGATTATGGCACTGATTGCTGGTAAAGCTATGCATTTTTAGGATGGAATTGTCGAAACTTAATTTGAAGTACAGTATATTTTGAGGTATTTTAAAACAGGTATGATTCATGACAACTACATGAGGTTTGATGCAAATTACTAAGACACATGCAAAGTTCCTAGCCTAACATCAAAGCTAACCATTCTAAATAAGTGTTTGTTTGAAAATTAAAACAGAAAATTGAATTGGTTTGAAAATTTCAATGCAGTATGAAAAAGATGAACCAATTTGAAAAATCTAAACTGGTTTAAAAAAAATTAAAACAAAGATAACTTTAAACCATAACACATGTTATATTTTAACACCTGCAGTGCACCAGGTGCTAAAATATTCCTGCAAACTTGCTCGCTCAAAAATTATTGCTTTCAAAAGGCAGACATAGAAATTTGCAGGGGTCACCTTGAGTGTTTGATGATAACCAATATACACTATAATCTTTAGGGACAACAGAGTTGTCTAAATACTCTATCATCTGTTTTAGAATATCACACTGCTGCTCTACAAAGCAACTGGTTGCCTTAAGAAAAAACAATTATTGTGACTTGGTGACATCCATTTTCTAACTTGTGCTAACATGGCTTAATTAGGTGTATTTGCCCCAAGATCTCAGGTCACTGCTTTGCATGATTTGATGTTGTTTATAGTCATTTTGCAGGACACTCAATGATAAACTGCTCTTTTGGACTGTTGAGTCATGTTGTTAAAAATTGGAATGAAATGGAATATCGTTAAATGATATAAGGTTTGAATTGAAGCATTACTAAAGGAATGCAATTTTAAAAAGATCACACTGTTTTTTTTTTTTAGTCTTTAATTCATGTTTCAATGTGACTCACATCTTTGTCAGTTACAAAGGGTATTTCAAACTGTTCGAAATTATTTGTAACAACCCACAGAAACATGCATAAAGCAAGACTCTGAAAAAATTCCATCTGCCTTAGGAGACCATTTTATGCCACATAAATTTTTTTGTTTACAAGGGTGAAATTTTGACTCTCTAATCAAGCTGAACATTTGATGGGCTTGCTATGAGATTGTGCCAGATGGCAGCGTAATGAGAATTTGAGAGTCTGTTACTTGTGAAAGTTATAACCATGATAGATTAGGTTTTGACGCTCAAGATTCAGGCACTTATGACAGGCTACTGGGTTTAACAAAATGCATAGAGGCCTTAATAGAGCCCATGAACTGTCAAAAATGGTATAAAGCAGCTACAAGATGCAATGGTTCGTATAGCAGACAAACAGAATCTTGAAATAGCATTTTCATCACAATCATAGAGGGAAATCAAAACAAGACAAGGTAAACCCAAATAAAGGTCCCATACAAGTTTTGTGACACCAATCATGATAGAAACAAATTTCCAGCTTCTGAGCAAGACCTGTCTTTAGTGTGTAAACAGGGACATTTTGCTGTAAAGTACTTGGAAAAGAGGTGTGCTTTGATGGCCTCAACCAACAAAGTAGATCAAACAAGTGCTACTATTTAGAATATGCAGCGAGTCTGGAGGTTGATCAGAAACCAAATCTGATGATTCTCTCTTTGTCACTGAACAAGTTGAAGTCATTAACACAAAGATGGTACCACTTACATGTTCCAGAGTATACTCTTACCAACACAACTAAGCTGGACACTCACCACTGCAACATGCAGTACAATGTCTTGCACAGATCTCTTAAATTAATACTACAGAATGGAGAAGTCAAGTTGCCTCCCACCCTGGGAAAAATGAGATTGTATGATGGGTGCCTGGTC